TGATCAGGAAGGTGGTTCACCCAGGGCGAGGCTCGGCCATTGCACTCCGGTTGTGCTGACCCCTGCGAATTCCCTAAATGTGGGAATCTCGACTGCATAATTTATGGTAGTGGGGGACTGCGTACGCGCTCTCCCCTGGACACACTGGTTAAAAGAGCAGATTGTTAAAGTTCCACTTATGTTTTTCTTCTTCTTCTTCTGATAGTTGATGACCTAGGAAGTCCAGATAATTTTAACTGCAGTGGTTGATCGGGAGATATAAAACAACCTCTGTGAAAGGAGGTTTTTTCTTTTTTGTTTAAATGGATTTGTTTTATTCTTCTTCAAATAATCTCCAATATTTAACAAACGATTTGATTCACAGCAGTTGTCCTGGAGGCAAAGTTGTTCGTAATGAGGAGGTCTATCATGTGGTATGAATACCTTGTGCATGTGTGAAACATCATGTGATATACAGCCGTCTATGGCCGTATTCATGTTGTTGTTTTTTCTGTTTACAGCGCCACCAAGTGGCCAGTCGCCGCATCCCTTTTCACGTGACCACAGGCTGAGCCCGTACACAGGTGTACCGAGTTGGGTGTAATTGTCTCATTCCGTTGGCGAGTTATAGCCATTTAAGTAAAGCCCGCCTCGCCAACTCCCAACGTTTTGGCGTCCGGTCGCCAACGCGAATGGAAATTCCGACTTTTTTCACGATCACTGTTGGCAGTCAGACTCCAGAGAATCTTTCTGCACCGGTTTGGGTCAGATCGGGCAAAAAACCTAGGACTAGTGTGCAAAAGTAGGTTTTTCAGAAAATCCAAAATACCCGAAAACCATCCAATCCGAGGCGTGCGTCTTGTTCGGCCCGAGCCAAGGATTCCGGTCATGTAAGACACTTGGGTCTGCGACGGACGGTCGAGGAGTTACGAGCCATTTCGTACTTTTGATCGCTGCAGCGCCACCCTGGGGCCGATCGGGGCGAGCCTTGGTGATGTTGTAGACCGGGCGGGTACTAGCATCCGTCAGAGTTTCAAGTCTCTACGACGTACGCTTTGGTCTGCCCGCTCACTTTTAGGGCAGAATGTTGATGATCCAAAATCCCAGGTTGCACTCCAGAGTGTCGTGTTGTGCACTCTGTTGTGATCCATTTTCGGTGTGACAACCAATCTGAGCTGAGCTTGTTTGTTGGCGACCTTAGACCCTCTCGCCGCGGCCCAGGTGGGCGTGGCTTTTGCCGGCTCCCCCGCCTCTGCGTCATTGTGTCATCGCTTCTCGGCCTTTTGGCTAAGATCAAGTGTAGTATCTGTTCTTATCAGTTTAATATCTGATACGTGCCCTACCTGGGCACCATATATTAAATTGCTTTTTGGAGCTGGGAGATGGAATAGGGGCTTGCTCCGTCCACTCCACGCATCGACCCGGTATTGCAGTACTTCTGGGAACGGTGCACCCCCCTAAAGTGTTCAATGAAAGAAATGTTTTGGTGTTATGTGGCAGCAGGTGTTAATGGAAGTAGTGTGTATTGTCGTGTTGTAGGTGATCATATACTATACTAGTAAAGGTAGAATCGTGGTGTAAAAAAAAAAAAACTCTGTTCCTATCCGTTTAATATCTGATTCGTCCACTATCCGGGGACTGCGTATTAACTAGATTTTTGGCTCACGGAGCCGGAGCATGAAAAAACAACAAAAAAGCCCGCCACTGCACATTTTTGATGTCTCTCTTATCTCTTGGAGTCTTTACTAACGAGCTGATGAGTTGAATCAGGGGTGTGTGTGTGTGTGTGTGTTTGATTGTCAAACCGTTGGTGAGGATTGCGAAGAGGGACAGGGTGCTTCTGACTGAAGGCCTGGGAATTCATACTTACCTGGCAGGGGAGACACCATGATCAGGAAGGTGGTTCACCCAGGGCGAGGCTCGGCCATTGCACTCCGGTTGTGCTGACCCCTGCGAATTCCCCAAATGTGGGAATCTCGACTGCATAATTTATGGTAGTGGGGGACTGCGTACGCGCTCTCCCCTGGACACACTGGTTAAAAGAGCAGATTGTTAAAGTTCCACTTATGTTTTTCTTCTTCTTCTTCTGATAGTTGATGACCTAGGAAGTCCAGATAATTTTAACTGCAGTGGTTGATCGGGAGATATAAAACAACCTCTGTGAGAGGAGGTTTTTTCTTTTTTGTTTAAATGGATTTGTTTTATTCTTCTTCAAATAATCTCCAATATTTAACAAACGATTTGATTCACAGCAGTTGTCCTGGAGGCAAAGTTGTTCGTAATGAGGAGGTCTATCATGTGGTATGAATACCTTGTGCATGTGTGAAACATCATGTGATATACAGCCGTCTATGGCCGTATTCATGTTGTTGTTTTTTCTGTTTACAGCGCCACCAAGTGGCCAGTCGCCGCATCCCTTTTCACGTGACCACAGGCTGAGCCCGTACACAGGTGTACCGAGTTGGGTGTAATTGTCTCATTCCGTTGGCGAGTTATAGCCATTTAAGTAAAGCCCGCCTCGCCAACTCCCAACGTTTTGGCGTCCGGTCGCCAACGCGAATGGAAATTCCGACTTTTTTCACGATCACTGTTGGCAGTCAGACTCCAGAGAATCTTTCTGCACCGGTTTGGGTCAGATCGGGCAAAAAACCTAGGACTAGTGTGCAAAAGTAGGTTTTTCAGAAAATCCAAAATACCCGAAAATCTCGCCAGCGCGACCATCCAATCCGAGGCGTGTGCGTCTTGTTCGGCCCGAGCCAAGGATTCCGGTCATGTAAGACACTTGGGTCTGCGACGGACGGTCGAGGAGTTACGAGCCATTTCGTACTTTTGATCGCTGCAGCGCCACCCTGGGGCCGATCGGGGCGAGCCTTGGTGATGTTGTAGACCGGGCGGGTACTAGCATCCGTCAGAGTTTCAAGTCTCTACGACGTACGCTTTGGTCTGCCCGCTCACTTTTAGGGCAGAATGTTGATGATCCAAAATCCCAGGTTGCACTCCAGAGTGTCGTGTTGTGCACTCTGTTGTGATCCATTTTCGGTGTGACAACCAATCTGAGCTGAGCTTGTTTGTTGGCGACCTTAGACCCTCTCGCCGCGGCCCAGGTGGGCGTGGCTTTTGCCGGCTCCCCCGCCTCTGCGTCATTGTGTCATCGCTTCTCGGCCTTTTGGCTAAGATCAAGTGTAGTATCTGTTCTTATCAGTTTAATATCTGATACGTGCCCTACCCGGGCACCATATATTAAATTGCTTTTTGGAGCTGGGAGATGGAATAGGGGCTTGCTCCGTCCACTCCACGCATCGACCCGGTATTGCAGTACTTCTGGGAACGGTGCACCCCCCTAAAGTGTTCAATGAAAGAAATGTTTTGGTGTTATGTGGCAGCAGGTGTTAATGGAAGTAGTGTGTATTGTCGTGTTGTAGGTGATCATATACTATACTAGTAAAGGTAGAATCGTGGTGTAAAAAAAAAAAACTCTGTTCCTATCCGTTTAATATCTGATTCGTCCACTATCCGGGGACTGCGTATTAAATAGATTTTTGGCTCACGGAGCCGGAGCATGAAAAAACAACAAAAAAGCCCGCCACTGCACATTTTTGATGTCTCTCTTATCTCTTGGAGTCTTTACTAACGAGCTGATGAGTTGAATCAGGGGTGTGTGTGTGTTTGATTGTCAAACCGTTGGTGAGGATTGCGAAGAGGGACAGGGTGCTTCTGACTGAAGGCCTGGGAATTCATACTTACCTGGCAGGGGAGACACCATGATCAGGAAGGTGGTTCACCCAGGGCGAGGCTCGGCCATTGCACTCCGGTTGTGCTGACCCCTGCGAATTCCCCAAATGTGGGAATCTCGACTGCATAATTTATGGTAGTGGGGGACTGCGTACGCGCTCTCCCCTGGACACACTGGTTAAAAGAGCAGATTGTTAAAGTTCCACTTATGTTTTTCTTCTTCTTCTTCTGATAGTTGATGACCTAGGAAGTCCAGATAATTTTAACTGCAGTGGTTGATCGGGAGATATAAAACAACCTCTGTGAAAGGAGGTTTTTTCTCTTTGTTTAAATGGATTTGTTTTATTCTTCTTCAAATAATCTCCAATATTTAACAAACGATTTGATTCACAGCAGTTGTCCTGGAGGCAAAGTTGTTCGTAATGAGGAGGTCTATCATGTGGTATGAATACCTTGTGCATGTGTGAAACATCATGTGATATACAGCCGTCTATGGCCGTATTCATGTTGTTGTTTTTTCTGTTTACAGCGCCACCAAGTGGCCAGTCGCCGCATCCCTTTTCACGTGACCACAGGCTGAGCCCGTACACAGGTGTACCGAGTTGGGTGTAATTGTCTCATTCCGTTGGCGAGTTATAGCCATTTAAGTAAAGCCCGCCTCGCCAACTCCCAACGTTTTGGCGTCCGGTCGCCAACGCGAATGGAAATTCCGACTTTTTTCACGATCACTGTTGGCAGTCAGACTCCAGAGAATCTTTCTGCACCGGTTTGGGTCAGATCGGGCAAAAAACCTAGGACTAGTGTGCAAAAGTAGGTTTTTCAGAAAATCCAAAATACCCGAAAATCTCGCCAGCGCGACCATCCAATCCGAGGCGTGCGTCTTGTTCGGCCCGAGCCAAGGATTCCGGTCATGTAAGACACTTGGGTCTGCGACGGACGGTCGAGGAGTTACGAGCCATTTCGTACTTTTGATCGCTGCAGCGCCACCCTGGGGCCGATCGGGGCGAGCCTTGGTGATGTTGTAGACCGGGCGGGTACTAGCATCCGTCAGAGTTTCAAGTCTCTACGACGTACGCTTTGGTCTGCCCGCTCACTTTTAGGGCAGAATGTTGATGATCCAAAATCCCAGGTTGCACTCCAGAGTGTCGTGTTGTGCACTCTGTTGTGATCCATTTTCGGTGTGACAACCAATCTGAGCTGAGCTTGTTTGTTGGCGACCTTAGACCCTCTCGCCGCGGCCCAGGTGGGCGTGGCTTTTGCCGGCTCCCCCGCCTCTGCGTCATTGTGTCATCGCTTCTCGGCCTTTTGGCTAAGATCAAGTGTAGTATCTGTTCTTATCAGTTTAATATCTGAAAAGTGCCCTACCCGGGCACCATATATTAAATTGCTTTTTGGAGCTGGGAGATGGAATCAGTCCGTCAAGGGTGTCCGTTATCTCCGCTTGTATGTGGTTTGCATCGAACCACTGGCACAGCTCTTGAGAAGGGACCAATGGATCAAAGGACTGAGAATTCCAGGTACAAAAGGACTGACGGACTTAAAATGTGTTTTATACATGGACGATGTGACAATTTTAACAACTGACCTTTTATCAGTACAGAGAGCACTTGACCTGACTGACCAATACGGGCGAGCCTCTGGAGCAAAACTCAATAGAAACAAGTCCGAGGCCCAGCTTTTTGGACCATGGGGTGACATAGACACGACAGGACTAGACGTGAATTTTAAGGAAACTGACATTAGGATTTTAGGAGTAAAGTTTGACAAAGAGGGGGGTGGACAAGGAAATTGGACAGAAATGGTAGGGAAAGTTAGACAACGACTGGGCTTTTGGAGATTACGGACGCTGACATTGGAAGGGAAGATTTTAATTTATAAAGCTGTGATCTTACCCTTGTTTTTATTGCTTTGCTCTGTTTTTAGGCCACCAAGGTTCTTCCTCCTGACAGTCGAGAGGGCAGTGTTTTATTTCTTCTGGGGGTCAAAATGGGAGCGCCTAAAAAGAGAAGTGGTGAAGAAGAGGAAAGAGAATGGAGGGAAAGGCCTCCCCGACCCCTATCTGTTTTTAGCAAGTAAATTCACAGCACTGCATTTTAAATATGCTATAAACCCCTCCAGAGAAAACAAAACTGCAGCAATGGTCAGATTTTGGATGGGGTCATATCTGCGTAGTTTGAAAGTTTTACCTGTCGATCTGACTGTCCCAGTGTCCTTTAACCTTCCACAAGAATATTGTTTTATTAAAACCTTTTTAAAAAGACATGATCTAGAGAATCAAGATGTTACTGTTTTAACAAATCATAAGTCTCTCATCTCTCTTGTGCAGGATCGGGAATCGGTGTGTCCGGTTCCAGGCCTCACACTAGGTGAGGCCAAAGACGTTTGGAGGAACGCAGCCCACCCAGCTCTCCAGAACAGGCTTAAGGACTTGTCGTGGATGGTGGCCCATGAGATCCTCCCGGTCAGGGCGGTCATGCACTCCAGAGGCATGGCCAAAAACTCCATCTGCCCACGGTCCGGATGTGGTTCCCCGGAGACCGTCTACCATCTGCTCTGGGAGTGCGGTGCTGCGCGGGACCTGTGGGCCAAGACCAGCCCCCTGGTTTTCCCGTGCCTGCCAGCGGGTCGGGCCCAGATGGAATACAGGCTCGCCATCCTGGGGGTGGGTCAGGGCTTGAAGGAGCTAACATCAAAGCAATTCACCTCGCTCTGGCTCACCCTCAACCACATCAAGGATGCCATCTGGGCCACCAGAAACCTGCTGGTGGGGAAACGCGTTACGGTGCCCCTCCACGCGTGCGAGCAAATAGTTAGATCTACGCTGCAGGAGGCGCCGGACGTCGTCATTCGGATGGGGGGGCTGGGGTCACACCAAAGAGGTCCCGGCCACCACCGACCCTGGTCGCCCGTAGATGCACCCTCACCACACCGGCTACGGGAACAGCGGGCCAGCGGGCCGGAGGAGAGGGGATCTCCGCTGGGCATCAGAAACGAGGAGTCTGGGGCCTGTTCTGGAGACCTGGAGTGAATGGACAATCTTGATAGGGACTCACTCGCGATCCTGCACAAGAGACAATGTTTTAGTTGGCATGTTTTATTGTTTTTATTTGATTTATTGCTACTGTATTTTTTCATTCCTTTTACCTTTCTTTTAAAAAACCAACATTTTACACACATGGACTTTTACACAACACACTATCCAACACTGATTTTTAACCTTTAATTGTGTTATTTTGTTTTAAAGACATGTGGAATGTTTGAAAGATAAATGTGGAAGTGTAAAGAATGAATTTGTAACAATAAACTTTTTTCGAAAGAAAAAATCTGTTCTTATCAGTTTAATATCTGATACGTGCCCTACCTGGGCACCATATATTAAATTGCTTTTTGGAGCTGGGAGATGGAATAGGGGCTTGCTCCGTCCACTCCACGCATCGACCCGGTATTGCAGTACTTCTGGGAACGGTGCTGCCCCCTAAAGTGTTCAATGAAAGAAATGTTTGGGTGTTATGTGGCAGCAGGTGTTAATGGAAGTAGTGTGTATTGTCGTGTTGTAGGTGATCATATACTATACTAGTAAAGGTAGAATCGTGGTGTAAAAAAAAAAAACTCTGTTCCTATCCGTTTAATATCTGATTCGTCCACTATCCGGGGACTGCGTATTAAATAGATTTTTGGCTCACGGAGCCGGAGCATGAAAAAACAACAAAAAAGCCCGCCACTGCACATTTTTGATGTCTCTCTTATCTCTTGGAGTCTTTACTAACGAGCTGATGAGTTGAATCAGGGGTGTGTGTGTGTTTGATTGTCAAACCGTTGGTGAGGATTGCGAAGAGGGACAGGGTGCTTCTGACTGAAGGCCTGGGAATTCATACTTACCTGGCAGGGGAGACACCATGATCAGGAAGGTGGTTCACCCAGGGCGAGGCTCGGCCATTGCACTCCGGTTGTGCTGACCCCTGCGAATTCCCCAAATGTGGGAATCTCGACTGCATAATTTATGGTAGTGGGGGACTGCGTACGCGCTCTCCCCTGGACACACTGGTTAAAAGAGCAGATTGTTAAAGTTCCACTTATGTTTTTCTTCTTCTTCTTCTGATAGTTGATGACCTAGGAAGTCCAGATAATTTTAACTGCAGTGGTTGATCGGGAGATATAAAACAACCTCTGTGAAAGGAGGTTTTTTCTTTTTTGTTTAAATGGATTTGTTTTATTCTTCTTCAAATAATCTCCAATATTTAACAAACGATTTGATTCACAGCAGTTGTCCTGGAGGCAAAGTTGTTCGTAATGAGGAGGTCTATCATGTGGTATGAATACCTTGTGCATGTGTGAAACATCATGTGATATACAGCCGTCTATGGCCGTATTCATGTTGTTGTTTTTTCTGTTTACAGCGCCACCAAGTGGCCAGTCGCCGCATCCCTTTTCACGTGACCACAGGCTGAGCCCGTACACAGGTGTACCGAGTTGGGTGTAATTGTCTCATTCCGTTGGCGAGTTATAGCCATTTAAGTAAAGCCCGCCTCGCCAACTCCCAACGTTTTGGCGTCCGGTCGCCAACGCGAATGGAAATTCCGACTTTTTTCACGATCACTGTTGGCAGTCAGACTCCAGAGAATCTTTCTGCACCGGTTTGGGTCAGATCGGGCAAAAAACCTAGGACTAGTGTGCAAAAGTAGGTTTTTCAGAAAATCCAAAATACCCGAAAATCTCGCCAGCGCGACCATCCAATCCGAGGCGTGCGTCTTGTTCGGCCCGAGCCAAGGATTCCGGTCATGTAAGACACTTGGGTCTGCGACGGACGGTCGAGGAGTTACGAGCCATTTCGTACTTTTGATCGCTGCAGCGCCACCCTGGGGCCGATCGGGGCGAGCCTTGGTGATGTTGTACACCGGGCGGGTACTAGCATCCGTCAGAGTTTCAAGTCTCTACGACGTACGCTTTGGTCTGCCCGCTCACTTTTAGGGCAGAATGTTGATGATCCAAAATCCCAGGTTGCACTCCAGAGTGTCGTGTTGTGCACTCTGTTGTGATCCATTTTCGGTGTGACAACCAATCTGAGCTGAGCTTGTTTGTTGGCGACCTTAGACCCTCTCGCCGCGGCCCAGGTGGGCGTGGCTTTTGCCGGCTCCCCCGCCTCTGCGTCATTGTGTCATCGCTTCTCGGCCTTTTGGCTAAGATCAAGTGGTCTGGTCAGACGTCTGAGACAGCGGTCGCCTCTTGTGGGACCTTGGTCTCGTGTGTTGCTTGTCACACGGGACACACACCCTTCAGGAGGTACATTGACAAGCGGCTTTTAAGTGACGACTCGTTCTACGAGGAATCTTCTTGTTTTAAGGTAAGCAGGTTTTAACTCATTTATTGTATATTTATTGTTGGGTTTTAGCCGCAGCGTGCTGGTGGTGCCTCCAACATGTCGGCTGCTCGTGCCGGCACAAGGAGGCACCACAGCGTGCGTTTTAAATTTAAACCAAAAGAGGATAGCACTCTCCCGGTCATGTCCAGACTGGACTTTTCTAGGAAGTGCATCCAACAGTTACTCGGTTTTAAGGTTGTGGACATAAACTGCCTGTTGACTCTGCCCCTGAACCATGGTTTTGATGTGAGTTTTGCTTCTGCTTCCTTACTAAGTACTTTTTGGACTCGATTTGAAATGTGTAAAGCCAATTTCTCCATGTTCACTGTGGAAAAACTGACTGATAATTCACTGAAAGTTGTGATTGTCAGGATGTTTAATGAAACAGTTAGTGGAGAAGATATTTCTGTGTGGTTGGCAAGATATTGCTCTATTCGTGGACAACCAGTCAAGGTTTTAGATGAAGACGGTATCTGGAGCTGTGCGTGGAGAGTGCCCATTAAACAATGGGCAGATCCCAACAGCTACCATGGCCTGAGTCAAATACCTTCTATGATTGTGTTGGGAGAGAATAGAGGCTACATCCATTACCAAGGGATGCCCAAGCTATGCCGCAAGTGTGGCAAACTTGGACATCTCGCCGAGGCATGCCAAGAAGTAGTGTGTAGGAAGTGCAGAGAAATTGGGCACATTTTTGAAGAGTGCCAAAATGGCAGAAAGTGCAACCTCTGTGGAGAATCATCCCATCTCTACAGAGACTGCCCTAAAAGTTTTGCCAACAAGTTAAAAAGCTACAAAATGGCCGCCCCACCCAAAGAACAAACAATTGAGGAGGCGGGCCCCGAGGTTTTGGCGGGAAATTCAAACCCTCAGCCAGCCTCAGGGATTGGACAGGAAGGAGGAAGTGGGGCGGCCACAGGGGCGGAGTCAATTCTGGCAGTTGGTGAGGGGGAGGAAGCCAATCCTCAAAATGAAATTGAAAAAGAAGACAGTATGGAGGATGAAGAGGAGGAAATGGCTTCCTCCCTAGTAACCGTGTCTGAGGTTAGTGTGTCCACGAGTGGGAGTGAAACAGATGTTTCGCTCCCCGATGCTCAAGTGCAGAAAAGAACTGCGAGAT